ATGTGATAATCTCTCCCAAATATCAAATTTGCTGACTATAGGAAGGAAAAAGTTTCCAAATTCATCTTTGTATACCCCAGGATATCACAGTTGAAGCCACTTAAGGTGCTTAGTTAATAATTGTTTGTTGCATGCCTTAATATTGTAGGTTTAAAAATTGTTAAAAATTAAGCTTGCTAAAACTAGATTCAAAATAATAATAAGTAGATGTTGGATAAAAGCAGGCCTTATGCATGTGAGGTAAGCACTCTACCAACTGAGCCATATCCCTAGCCTGAGGTGCTTGTTTTAATATACATTTTACCTATACTTTCTAATACTCAGTATGTTCTAGACAGAGTGTCAAGATAGAGTTCCTGATTTTGCACAAAAGACAACTAAATGACAATGAGATAAGTAAAACACACAAAATAATTAATTAAACCTTGGCTAATTATACAAAATTTCTTGTTATCAAATAATTTATCAATAATTTTCTAGGCACACATTTGACCTATTCCAAACTGAAAACTGAGAAAAGGAATGGCATTCTTAGATTTTTTTAAGGGAGTACATTGTTAGGGAACTTCATTACACTCACTAGCAATGACTTTGAACAAATTATTCTACCTGTTTTAATTTTAGTTTTCTCATCTGAAAATAGTAATAATAATATCTTTCTCATGAGGTTCTTGGAAGAATTAACATGCATTTTAAAGCCCTCCCATAGGAACTTGTACTTAAACACATATTTACTTTTATTATAATAGTTTATCCATGCTCAGAGTTGGGGCAATGGTATTAATATGGGCATAACCAGGCACTGTTATTGCCAAGACATTTTTCTCTTCTATTTGCTGCCTGGAAGATATTGCCCCATGTCTCAGTATCAGATATTTTGGAATTAAATACATCCCCCAAATCAAAATAGACTATAAGGTCTCTAAATCTCTGACTTTCTCTCAAATTTTTAAATGTATAGTCTTTTAAACAATCTTCCTGACTCCAGTATCACTTCCTCCAGGCAATTCTTGATGTTGAAAACAGTGATACTTTTGAAATGAAGTTTATCATAACATTCTCTTGCTTAAACATAACAGTTGTTTCTCAACATGGTCAAACTCAAACTCCTTATTGTATGACACCTGTCCTCCCAGTCTTCCCACATGACTTCCCCAAGTTTCCTCTCACCATTGTAGGTAAGCTTATTGGTTCTTGCTCTATAAAATTCCTCCTAAAAATGACCACCCTCTCAACATTGCTCTTTTATACACTTTTTACAAATTACTTGTGACTGATTTGATTAATGTTTCTCTTTTTCAAGTGCAGCCTAGTGAATGGTTCAAAGCAGAAGCTAAAAAAAGTGAATGGAATTAAACGTATCACTCTTAATGACTGATGTAATATAAATATGGACATCCTATAAGACAAAAAATATCTTCTTCTCAAACCCTTATAAACTCTTCTTCAACTTGTAGTCTAATACATTCTGATACTAAGAACAAACAGTTATATCTGTGAGGAAATCCATATGATTTAAAGCCACCGTTACCCTTCTCCAACTAAGGGCTTCTATTATGGAGGATCTGTGCACATACCATTTTATCTGTATACTTGTTTTTTTTGCAATAGAAACTTTTAATTCCAAAATATATGAATTGCAGTAATTATGAGTCACTTCTATTACGGATAATTTAAAGTTGAGAGAAATGGTCTGAGGACAAAAAAAAAAAGGAAACTAAATTTAGTGACTGAAAGTAAGACAAAAAAGCAAAATTAGCTTTATAAAGCTATTCAACCACATATGACAGGAAAAAGATCCAAGTTGCTTATAAAGGGATAATGAAAGTAAAACCCAGTCATAAAATTAGCAAGGTACTTAACATATAAATGGGGAACTAGGGATAGCAAAATATAATTTGATGTTGTATTGACAATAAAGCAAAAAAGATCTGCATTTTCTAATTTATTGAGTCTGGGTGAGGGTAGCAAATCTTTATGCACACTAAAACCAGATAGAAATTTACAGTACAACTTTAGAAAAAGTTGTTATTGAACACTTTATTGAATATTCCTCAATATTAATGAACAGAAGTTGGGATTATACTGACTGATGGTTCATTTTGATTTTTTGCAAAGTCAAATTACTAGAATTTTTAATGCCATTTGCTTTTATCATTATGTTGATATTTCCCCCATCACTCATTAAGAATTATACTCTTGGTAATGATATAAAGTGTGACCTTCTGAAAATAGGAATTAGCCAGATATGGTGGCTCATGACGGTAATCCTAGCAACTCAGGAGGCTGAGGCAGGAGGATCACAAAATTGAGACTAGCCTGTGCAACTCAGAAAGATTCTTTTTCAAAAAAAAAAAAAAAAAAGGGCTGTGATTGTAGCTTAGTGGTAGAGCACCCTTGGGTTGAATCTCTGATTAACACCCCCAACACATACACAAATTTAAGTTTTAAATCAATACTTCATATACATAACAATATGCTTAGATTTAGGGGTTGGATCCTTGAGTATGCATAGCTATCTGTTTTGAAAGACCTTAAAACTGAAATTTGTTTTTTTCTATGGCTGGTGACCTCAGCCAGAGATTTCCTACCGCTGGATACTAAAGTATTGTCTCTATATTTATTATGTATATTTATTATGTACAGCAATTACCTGGAGATGTTGGTACAAGTATATTCTAAGTTGGACGTCTAGACTAGAATTCTGGATTCTAGTTTAATTCTCATAGATGTTGTTTGTCCATGGACTTCATTTTTAAATACTAAGTTTTGAATCAGTGGTGTGTGTGTGTTTTAGTTATAGATGGACATGATGCCTCTGTTTATTTCTTTCATGTGGTGCTGAGGATTGAACTCAGTGCTTGACATATGCTAGACAAGTTCTCTACTACTGAGCCACAATCTCAGCCTTTCAGTGGTTCACACTTTTGATGCCCATAGGAATCATTTGAATAACTGTAAAGCAAACTAGAATATAAACCTCAGCATTCTAGGGGGTGAAAAGTTACTTAATTAGACTAGGGTGAAGTCTGGGCATGGAGGTGGTTTATTTGTTGTTTTGTTATTTGGTACCAAGGACGATTAACCACTGAGCCACTTCTCCAATCCTTTTATTTTCATTTTCTTGGTATCCGGGATTAAACCTAGGATTGCTTAACCACTGAGCAACATCCCCAGCCTTTTTTAAAAAAATATTTTAGTTAAAGACAGGGTCTCTCTAAATTAATTAGGACCTCACTAAGTTACTGAGGCTGGCTTTGAACTTGCAAACCTTCTACCTCAGCTTCCAGAGCCTCTGGGATTACAGGTGTACACCACCATGCCCAGCTGGGCAAGGAGAATTTTAAGAGCTCTCAAATTGTAGCTAACATTTGAGAACATATGGCCTAAAATGTATTGCCTAGATTTATTAGATTTCATCTCAGTACTGCATAGATTTTCATAGTAAGCTGCTTCCAAATTTTAAAATTTACTGATTATGATTCATTATCAATCAGATTCCATTTTAATGATCTTAGTGGTTTCCTTTCTATATTCCTTATTTAACAAAACATCTTTATACATTAAAACTAAATATTTATAGAATTATAATGAAATATTGGCAATGAATTCTTTTTAGATTAGGAGGTAGATATATATAAATACAAACATCTGATTTTAAAATATATGGAAATGTCAGTTCCCAACAAACATTACATGAAAAGGTTCACACCAGTTAGGAAGTTTTATCAAAAATAATCTCCAAAACTGTTATGTGATGAGAAAGGACCACAGACACAGAAAAGACAAGCAAAAGTTTACTTAGTATCACTTCTTGAGGTAAGAATCATTGATTCAAGAGTTACAAATCACTGTAAGACCTTTCCTAATTATTTTTCTAAGTTGAGGTTTATAAAGATCAAGATGTAATTCTATTTCTAAAGCTCCCTCTATAACTCTTAGAAATGCATATTAATAATACTTAATAAATGCTAGGTGCAGTGGCACACCTGTATTCCCATCTACTTGGGAAGCTCAGGGTAGGAAAATCACAAGTTAAAAGTCCACTCTGGACAAAATTAGTGAGACTTTGTCTCAAAATAAAAATTAGGATGTAGCTTAGTAGAATAGAGTATACCTGGGATTGATTCCTAGCACTGAAAACAAAATAGCAACAACAGCAGCAGCAAACCACTTAATAAAAAGGATATCTTAACTTCTGAAGTACTTGCAGAAATCCCCTAATCCCCTAATTACAGTAAGGAATACTGGAGTATAACCACCACGCACTAATGATATGACTTAATCAAACTTTCTGAATATGCTTTTTAAGACCCAAAATAGTCCAGTAAGATTATGAAAACAGACTAATTCCACAAATTAAAGACAGAATTAAGTGTAACTTTGATAAGCCAAAAAAAGTAAATAAACAAATAAAAAGTAGTGTGGCAGTGTTTCAATGTGAACACCTGAAATCTAAATTGGAGACTACTTTCAGGTTTGTCACTATTTAGCAACCAAGGCACTTATCTTAATCTTATTTAAAAAAATAGAGTCTCCAAAGAGATTAACTATTAACTCCATGATCTGAAAATGACTGATTAAGTATTCCTCTAAAGCAAGTATGATTTAGTCTAACAATGAAAAAGCACAAGAGTTTTTTCTAACATGATTAATTTAACAAATCTCTGAAGAAAGATAGCATGTTAAACTTGTCTTCAAAGTTTACTAATTGGTTATCAATTAAAAGAGGAAATGCATGTAAGTCTAAAAAAATGGAGTATGTACGGGAGGTGGGTAAAAAAAGGAATCATTAAATGCAATGCAAAAATACCAGGCAAAATTAAAATGAATAATAAAAACTCAGGATAATGAGAGAATATAGCTTTTTTTCATAAGGAAAACTAACTCAAAGTATGCAATATGATATTTTATGATCTATGCCCAAAATAAGTATTCCTATTAGATATAAAAAATTTTTTCCAAGTACAAGTAAAATTATCCTAATTAATAAATATAAAACATGGAATTTTTTTATTTAAGTTTATTGTTTAGTTTGAATACATGTTCTGAGAACTATAAAATACCTAGTGTGATCAAATACATGAGAAATTCCAGTATGAATCCAAAAGTGCCCATCTTGCAGCTTTCTCTCAAAGGATGCTGAAAAAAATATATATATTAATGAACTGAGACAAAAGGTTGTCTCAACTATAAATTTCAATCATTAATCTTCTTCAGAACTGGAATCATCCTCTTGGTCAGAAAGTTCAGGAACAGGAAAGCGAAGAATGGCAGCTACTCCAGTCAATTGGCTGAGCTGTTCCCCAGATACATGAAGACTAGAAAATATCCTAACAGTGCCTGCATTTTCTTTTACACTGTCCACCAGCCTTACATACCGGCTACGTGTAGCTACATCCTGGTGTCTGAAGAGCTCATCGCTGATGAGCAATGTGTCAACAGCCATGGCTTCGTTGGCCTTCTCCACCTGCTTGAGTCCATAGAAGGCTCGGTCAGGTTCATGTTGTAACATTTTATAGAAGTCATCCAAGGCTTTTACTTCCCCAGCAGCTTTAGTGTCTGAAAGGCGGCTAGCTACAGTAGGGTCACAAAGGGCCTCTTTCAGGGAGTACTTGTGTCCAGAGGAGGCATGTACCTAGAATCACAATTATAAAAGACAAAAGAATCTCTGAAAGCATCCACTAAGCAGTCCATGTTTACCTAAAGTCTAAAGAATTAACAAGGATACATATGTGTATGTGTGTGTGTGTGTGTGTACTTCAGCAAAGTTTATTATTTAAATATGCTAGATATTGAGCAGTTCTCTTTTCATTACTTCATTTACAATCCCAGCTAAGTTGAGTTTCTCCTCTTTCACTTTTCCCAGTTCTAAAACTTTAGGAGCAGTTTATACCAATCCCTCTGCCCATTCTTAACTATCTCTGAGTAAAAACACTTTACCTGAAGGAATTTGGACCGGTTTTCTAGGAGAACTTTGTTGTCAGTCTTCACTGCTTGCTGAAACATGTAGTCGCAGAACTGTTCCCGCACAAATCCTGGGCTGGCCACCAGGACACACTTTACAACATCGAAGTTTATGTGGCGCTGGATGGCCTGAACCACCTGTTCATAGAACCGCTCCAAGGCCCGGTCATGCTGGGAGCAGTTGCCTTTCCTTTTCCTAGGGATGTTTACCTCCACCTTGGCCCGAGTGAGGGTCATGCTGGGAGTGACTAAGCAGATATGGGCGAGACCTTCCTGCATGACCACCGCTGCCACATCAGCACTCCAGGCCGGGTCACAGGCCTGTTCAATGCGCTCCAGAACCACACTATCCCACTGTTTCTTGGCCAGGGTGAACTGGCGGTTGGGCTCCAGCTCGATGGTGTGGTAAGCCCCCATCTTGACATACTCATTCTCTTGGATATTGGTCCCTTTGACCCGCAGCTGGCAAGCTTGAGAGTCAAAGTCAATGGCCTCCACGCAGAGAGTGAGAGTTGTACGGACCCGGTTGCTTCCTACGCTGCCTGTGGAGGACTCGGTCTGTACCTTACGGATGGTGGAGGCGCGAAGGCTGTCGCCCACCTGCACTAGATTGTAAGTGTGCCACATGTCCTCAGGCTCCTCGGGGACCAGGGTCACCTGACCCGCATTGTCCTTCTCAATGTCCTTCCTCACCAGCTTCATGACCTTAGTTGAGGCTCAGTAACAGAACAAGAACTGGGGGTCCCCAAAGGGAAAGGGGCAAGGGATAGGGGGGAAGAGAGTCTAGGCCGGAAAGGGGGCGGGGTCCAGTTCTATGGTCACTTGCCCGGAGGGAAGGAAATACTGTAGCTCTGACTCATGCAGCCGAGGGGGCACTTACTCTAGCCCTTCCGGTTTTAGTCTCCCCGCGCGGCCCGACGAACGCGCCCAGGAGACACAGCAGTGAACACGAACCTCTCGAGGCTGCAGCCGTCAGCTCCCAGCAAGTGGCTGACGCAACGAGGGCGCATGCGCAGCCCGCGTCCCGCCTCCCACCGCCCGGCGCACGTTTTACGTCCTCAACGGAGAGGCGGGGCCGCGGTTGGCCTGCGCAGGCGTACTGAGCGGTTGGTGCTCCTTGGCATTAACTTTCTTCAGAAGGGGCACGGAATCTTGGGTGGCGGTACTTTTGTTTTAACGCTGAACTTGGACATGCTAAGTTTTCCCTTTCATTCCTGTTGTGAAGAATTGAATACGTGAGTGCAAATATATATTTTTAGCTGGGCGCGTTTGTGACGCTCAGCGGTCCTCACTTGGCGTACATCCAGTTTCAAAACTTAGATCTGACAGTAAAAAGAGGTCTCAAAAGTTGCGGACTTGGCCCCCAAAGTTCCAAATTATGCTTGTTTTCGCTCAATCCTTGTCCGCATTCAGACGTGACACGCCTATTAGAGCCGGTATTTCCAGAAGCGATTTCTAAACGCTTGCGTCTGGGTTTTGAGCAACGTGCCCAGCTGTTTTCTGCGCTTAGTTACCCGAGTCTGCATGATCTAATTAACCCAGATGTTAAAGCACTGATCCCAGAGAGAGCGAGAAGGAACTATGTGTGGAATTTACCCCTGGGTGGACTTCTCAGTGGCTTGACCTGACGTCCTGGGAATCCCAGAATCCAAAGTTGGCAGTCAGCAGTCTGAAATGATTAGGGTGGGGGTTGGTAGCAGTAGTTCAGCACGCCAGCTTCACTACCAAAGCTAGGCTAAAGGCAGAGGATATGGGGTTTGGAGATAAACTGATCTACTGCTTATGACTGACACAGAATGAATAGCTACAGAATCGATGTTAAGAAAATCATTAAGACTGCCACTTTTATTAAAGTTGGAGAATGGGAGCGGGATTAACTCTGAAGAAGACCAACAAGTAGGAAAAAATTCACCACAGTTTTCTTGAGAATTAAGATGGAGAGCAGAAAAGTGCACCACACATTTTCTCAGGATCTTTCCTTTTGTGTTATGTATTTTAAGGTGGAGCTCACTGTTGGTGAGACAGAGATAAAAAGGAAGAATCTGGTTTTGGTACAAACCTTGATAATTTTAACTCAAGTGTCATTTATCTTCCTCAGAGACATTCAGGGGAGAAAAGGGTCCCTTACCAAGACTCTCATACAAGGTAGAACCATTATTTGTTTGGTGGTTTCTTCCCAACTGTATTTTCCCTTCACCCTATCTTTCTTCCTATCATTCTAAAGTTCCTAACGCACGTTGCCTTCTTCTTCCAGTTCCAAGAGAACCCAGTAATTTTTCACTAAATAAGGAACTGGTCACACCAAAGCATGAAGGTGGATTGCCTTTCCAAAGGACATTTTACCATTTAAAAGGATCTCATTAACTTAGAATTCTTAACTCCTTAAAGTGAAAGTATACGTGTGTGCTTATGGGAATATGTTTATGTGGGGAGGATAAATTTGAGCTGTGGGCTTTGAAATGCTCCTTGATCACCAATGGGCGTACACTTCATCTAGCACCTTAATTTGCCAAGGATTAAAAACCACAGAATCACAATGGTAGGTACAGAATAGGTTTTTATTGAAGAGCTGTCACTGAATATTCACCAAGTGCTTTCCTATGCTCTTTCTAAGCCTTGCCTGTAAGGTAAATATTTGTCCTTTAAAATTTATAGAAGAAAATAAATTATGGGGACGTTGAGACATGTGTTAAAGATCACATAACTAGTATTCAAATTCTGGCCTGTTGGACTCTCTATATAAAGGCCCATAGTGTGGGAGTCTACCTAGAAAGTTTAAAAGGCTCTAGATCTTCCTCTGATTTTATTACTTCTTAAAATCATATTTTTCTTTTCCACATGGTTTTCCTTTGCCTAGTTTACATCATCATGATAATCTTTAACAAATATATTGTATTTTATAGGATATTATATTTTATATTCTATAAAAGTGTACAACTTTCTGCATTTAAAACCTATATAAAACACATGAAATCTTAATTTCATGGCTTTTTTTTAAAGATATAAGATTTTGTACTATCTTTTTAAATATCAAACACAGTGATTGCATACACAGCATTTTTCATGGAATTGCTATTTGATCTGGGATATCTGCAACAGCTTAGAACTTTTTCTTTTTTTTAAGTAACTTGAGCTTATTGTTGAATGAACAGATGTTCTCTCTAAAGTTTTGTGTATGGCTTAATATAACTAGACTGGTCATTGTTACACTTTTATTTTGAGATATTTTGGATTCTAGTTCCTAATTAAATCCCAAATTCTTGAAGTTTCAAGCATCAATACTCTGGCCTCAAAAAGCTTTATTTCCCATTTATACCCTTAGGGGGCTCTTAAGAGCACACCTTGACAGTAACTTTGTTCCCTATACATCCTAGGAACTTTGTACTTTGCTATCTCAGTCATCTGTTCTGCATAAATAGGACTTCTTTTCTTTCCTGTTTCCATAAATCCTATGTATCTATAAGGTCAGTTAAAATCAACTTGAAACTGTGCATCATAGCAATTTGAATGCATATCTTGTCTTTCTTCTTGGGTTCTGGATGGTTTCATCATTGTATTACTCCACTATTCCCTGAAAAGTTCTCTGCATGTAGTAGGTACTCATACCTGCATAATAAGCTAGGTGGATAGAATGTAAAGTGTAGCAACTATATTAACATTATTTTCAAACACCTTTTAAGGCACTCATATTGTTATCTACTTTAGTTCACTTAATAATGGTAATTTTAAGACTCCTATGGTTAAAAATTCATTTATTTTCATTTTTTTTTTACAAAATAAGCAAAATTATGATAAAAAGACAAGCTCTGTTGCTTAAAATTATAGTTTTATTGCCTTTTTGAGAATAAAACCTTTATATCAGTAACTTTAATTATATCTGTTTTTCCTATAATGACTTGTTTATATTAATCATTCCAGAAGACAAAAAAAGTCAGAGTGGGTATCTCCAAAAGTTTGTTTTGTTTTTGTTTTTGAGACACTGGAGGAGAAGTGGGGTAGAAGTCAAGATAATTGTGGTTCTTACCCTTCAGTTGTTTTTATTGTAACTTTTGGCAGTACTCAGCCTCTAAAACTCAATTTCCTTTACTTGGGAATTGAGGGAATTGGATTCAATAATTAAAATCATTGTAACTGTAAAATTATGCTGCAACATGTAAAAAAATTAAATACTACCTATAATCTCACCTAACATGTTTTTTTCAATTTTCATGCTATCTTAACTTTGAATCTTTATAAGGTCCATTTTAGTGATAAAAGACTGATTCAAGTTAAACTATGTATACCAACAATCTGCAGACCTGAGTTAAATTTCATAACCTCCATAAACCCAAACTTTTCTTTGTATTGTAAATGAGGTAATTTGTTCTGCTTCTCCCATTTGACGATTAGTATGTGGTTTTAATGATATTTCAATACTTTGTAAATTGAAGAGCTCTATAAACAGGTAAGGTACTATGATAAATCTCTTAAGAATACCTAGATTAAAGTTAGAAATCTGACAAGCCAGGGGTGAGGATTCACTTTAACATGATCATAATTATTCAGCCTTGGAAGCATAAGTGATTTGGTAATTTCCTAATGGATAATCTTTTGTGTGCATTTCTTTATTTTAGCACCTCCTTTCTAAACCTTAGGTTCACCCTTCTGTGTGAAATTGTTCATGCACCTAATTAGTGAATTGGAATAAAGTCCTTCCTGTTATAATAATATGTCAGAAATGTTTTTTTATGAGAATGGCAGGAATTATGGGCTCCTGGAGAACTGAAATCTTGTTTGAACACCTTGTGCTCAGCACAATGTCATAGTAGGTACTGTATAAATTTTTTTTTGTCTCCATCTTGTTTGCTTTTGTTCTTTTTTGTTTGTTTGTTTGTTTGTTTTTGTTTGTTTGTTTTTGGCCAGGCTTACTTTCCTGCAACACAAACCTGAACTCTTCATTCTTCTTCATAAAGCACCTTGGGAGCCCCTCCCATATTGCTTCTTCCAGACTGAGTCTCTTAAGGGCAGAAACTTCCTTTTATTTGTCTTTGTGTTCCTAGAACCTAACACAATGATAATCGTATACATTATATGAAAGAATGAGTGGTTACTAGTTTTCCTTCAATTCAGAACTTTTAAATTGTCTATCACTTGATCTTAAAATTAAGAAAGTATATTCTGTTTTATAATGTTACTAAGAATTTTAAAAGAAGATTAAGCATAAGGTAAGTTTCTATAAACTTAGTTTTTGAGATATCTATGCTTGCATAAGAAAATGGTGATTTATATGCATCTTAATAAGGAAAAAGTCTTGATATATTTTAAAATAATTTGTAATGGTAATTAGTTTTGATATACATGATTTGGAAAGTTATCTTTACAGAATTTATAAGTAGTCAAAACTCAGATTATGAATATCTAATGTTAAATGGAATTGTTTCTTTGGAGAAAATGTACAAACCTCAGATGTTACAAAGTCTCCCATGTGACTTTGAGGAATCAAGCAAAACTAGAAAGGTGTACGTGAGGATTATTCAACTAATTTAGGCAAAAGGGAAGAGGGAAAAGGGAAAGTTTCCCTTTTTTTTTTTTTTTTAAGGAACTTGTACTTATTTACTATTCCCTTTTTTTTTTAAAGGAACTTGTATTCATTTACTATCTAAATTTTCTATGATTGAAAATGCTTACTTGCAATTGTGACAAAACAATACAAAACTATCAAATAAAATACTATGAAAAAGTGTGTGTGTCTATTTATATGTATTCCTATGCATTATACTATCATTTTGCAAAAACTATTAAAATAAAACATAATACAAACACTTTTAAAGACTGATTAATATCCACATATTGTCAGACTTTAGTATACGGCAAATTAAAAGCCTAGTTAATGAAATTTTGAAAGTACATTTAACCTGTAGTAACAGTACATGATTTATAATAAAATATGTAAGCTACTATAACCATTTGATATTCTAATGTGATTTTAAAATTTGCATTCATTTAAGCAAC